GGAATATCTGAATTTTTTAGTGTTTGGTAGGGTCGATCTTTGAAAAACGGTCCCATTATTTTTTTTTTCACGGCTTATTTTTTATCCCGAAGGGGTGTTTTGTCTCCAAGCCCCCATTCCCCCCCCCCGCCCCCACGGGCCCCCCCCCAAAAAAAACCCCCCGCCCCCCCCCCCCCCCGCCTTTTCAGGAGAAGAAAGTTAATAAGCCTACCTCCCTCTCCTAATTATTCTTCACTAATAAATGGGAGACTGTATTAATCAGTCACGACTGTAAAACTTCGTGCGGACTGCTTCGGGATTATTTTTTTACCAACTGGGAGCTCGGATTTGATTCTGATCCTCGGCTTCATGACCTCCAACCTTCTTGTTCTTGAGCTTCTCCATTAAGTATTCGAGTTCTTTATGGAGAACTGATACTAACGTCTTTTGAAATTAAATAAGCCCCCGGTCTCTATTACGCCCCCTCCCTTCAAATGGGCTTGAAATAACAGTAAGACCCCCGGGGGGCTTAATAGAGGATTTGCGGTAACCCTAAAATAAACAACGAAAAAATCGATGCAATTTAGGGATCTGGTTATGAGATTACCACTCAGCGTTTATGAACGGATTTTATTTGTTTGAGGGTGTTGTTCCCTTAAATTGGTCTTGAATTTTCAGGCCTTTTTAGAAAGAGGAGAGGACACTAAGTCTTGATGCCACCTTCTTCGTTAATTTTCTGCATTTTAGCTTCGGAAATTTTACAAGTATTCCACCTTTCGTGAGAGCGTAACAAAGCGTAACAAGCAGAGAAGTTAATTTGATTTTTTAATTTCAACCTTTCAATAAGATAGAAATGACAGTAAACCAGTTCGATTAACAGTAGAGTCGTCTTATTGAGTCTCTCACAGCTTTTCTCACTTCTCTGATCTTCCAGCAGTACAGCAAAGGGTTTAATGAAGAGTTTAAGAAAACTAAAGAGACCGTATATTGCCTGGCAAGGTAAATAGAAATGCGCATCCCTTCTGCAGGTGTCAAAGCCACTGCTATCCCGTGTGGCAGATAACAAAAAAACAATGTTCCCTGCACCCACAGTGCACTGTACACTGCCTTTCTGTATCGAGCTATGTTCAGTGCGGGAATTGCTTGGCTCGGTTGTCCTTGAACAATGTGATTCTGAACTTGAATTTGGTTATGACGAACAATGGAAAATATTTTTGTGTTCGAGCAAATCAAGGCGATCAAACTCAGAGATACGCCTGAGTATGTATACCACTGATGAATGACAGGATCCCAAAGGAAACTTGATGTGCCTAAAATGGAGATAATCCACATACCGAGTAAAGCAATACCTGTTCTTCTAAAAGTTACAACTTGTCTGTATCTGAGCCCCAGCAACAAGGCGAGAAGTCTGTCCACGCTTATTGCAGTCAGTGTTAGTAAAGACACTGCACACAAACCAGTGGCTGAGATGGTAACTGGCAAATGAGCGTAACAGCAGATATTCCATCTTCCTGTCACCGCAGATATCCAATAAACCACAGCCAGGGGTTGTACAATGATACCAACACAGAGATCAGTTATCACTAGGTTACGATACAGGAGTTTGGAAGGCGGATGAAGTGAAGTTTCCTTGTGCAGAGCAACTAGGATCAGAGTGTTGCCCAGAAATGCAGTAACTGACAGGAAAATATTTATGGCTGAAAGGCCAATTAGGTCGCTGTGTACTTCTCTTGTAAATTCCGCCGAGCAATAAAGCTCTTGAATTGTTGCCTGGTTTTTGTCTTGATTAAAATTTGTTACTGCCATGAAGGCAAGGTCTCTGCAATAAAAGAAGAGGCGAATGAAGAACAGGCCATATTTCTTGTTACGCTGCATTAAATATGGATATGAATACTCCAACCAAATAATAATAAAAAGAAGGGGGTTTTTCTGATATATAATTATATCTATTATACAAACACCAATGAAAAACCAGGTGAGCTTTCGCACGAAAACTTGATATCTTCATATGTGAAAATATTACCGTTGCTATGGCTACATCATAAATCGCACCTTTCACACCAAAAAACTATTTAAGTAAAATGGTTTGGTATTTAATTTGTGTTTATATACAGGTATAATAAATAGAACATTACATGGTCGCTTGGAGATACGAAATTTTTTTTCTCGTGTTGAAAAAAATATTTCACTCGTTAGCTGCACTCAACACTCGAAGAGAAGTTTCGTATCTCCGCGAGGCTATGTAATATCCTCTCTCTCTCTCTCTCTATGTACATACATAAAACAAACAATTTTAAAAAACATACAATACCTTCATTTTAAAAATAATTTCCCAATTTTTAAGCCACAAATTAATATGAAATCTAAGTATGTCACTGGGATTCAAGAAATTGATATTTTTGAGTTATACTGCTCACCATACTCTCGTATAAAAAGTAATTAATGGTACTGGAGCCACAAAGCTCTCGCAGAAACCTCGTCCTTGGTAATTGAAAACATACCTGTTATTGGAGAGAGAGAACATTGCTGCAATATTTATATACAGTTTCCAAGGTTAGAGTTCAGTTAAACGACTCATTTGAGAGCTTTAATTGTAGCATCCCAAATAGTACAGTTCGCGAACTCTATTCTTAAGAAGGGACGTGTCTTATCAAGATCGAGAGGTCTTTTTTAACTGACACGTCTCATACTACCTCTTGTAAAAATAACACCACAGCTTCCTTTAAATTAATTTTCAATATTACTGAAGTTTGGACATCAAAAAAGGGATTAATTTATCACTGAATGCCATGAAAGTCAAGGATTTACGTAGAATGTTCTCTTAAAGCCTTTTAGACACTTTACTTGTATTCCGTCATCATTTTGTTTGACAGCGGAGCTAGAAGTTCTTTATTACATGCCATGATATTGTCCAAGATGTTTTTGCACTTTTAAGAAAATATAAATTTCTTATCTATCATCAAAATTTTATGCAAGTCATTCCGCTGGATGACATTTAATTGTTGGCACAAAAGCTTTTGGCAAAATAAATGATATTTTCCTTATCTAAAGGAAATCAATCAGTCGTAACTTAAAGTTGGGACGTGCCCTTCTTCTCTCATTAGTATTAGTTCTCTTATTCGTCATGATGGATTCGGTATGGTCCTTTAGGCACCCGTTTTAAGAAGAATTAAACCAGGCAAAATGAGTTTTTTCGTAAAATTAATAAGTTCCGATCTCTTGTGATAGGCGCCATGGGTAGGAGGTGGGAAAAGAAAACTACAAAGACTGGCACAGTTTACACTGTTAGCAGTCTCTGGCTATGGAATTGTGCACGCGAGCAAGCGCCTTCAGTCACGCGCGTGGTCATTTGCGTGCATGTCTCGAGCGTTTCGCTCGACGGACTAAGAAAAAAACCAGACGGCTCGTAGTCTAGGCACAGTTGGTTAGTTCGCGGTTTTCTGTGCGAGAGGTCCCGAGTCCGATTCTCATGTGTGACTACAAATACTTCTTTCGACTTCTTTCCTTACCTTGTAGCTTTTAGTAGCTTAGATACCCGTAAAAAGGAACACTAATGTCGAGAGAGGAGGAAAATTGGCGTACTTTCGGCCTCAGGTTTGTTAGTCAGATCGGGAGCATTTCGAACTACGGACGTAAAATAAGGAATCTTTACCTTTACCAATCACCACTACTTCTTTCCTTTGCTAAGTCGAGGTGCATGAATGACTACAGCTTTACAGCTCACATTGATCATATAACCTTTCCAATTATAATCTCTGAAATGTTTGTATAAGTTTATTTCTTAAGACAGGCCTCATGTCAGAGGATGATGACGCGCAATTGGCGTCTCCGCTTCTTGCATATGTTTATTCCTTTGTTACAAACCTATTCATCTTATTTTAACCTTTTTCATCTTTATGATTGTAAATAACGTCAGAAAAAATTTTTATTATTATTATTATTCATTCAAAATAATTCCACTTTACATTGCCTTCACCGGAGACAAGCCATTAAAGGCAGCACAGAGAATCGACTTTTTTTTTACTTTTCATCTTTGCGCCAAAACATTAAAGCTTCATTTAACAGCGCACATTTAGTGTCAGCTGAAAATTAGTTCTCTTCTCCTGTCAAACTGAAGGAATATACATATATATTTTAGTGATTAATCTAACATTAATCTTATTTACCAAGTATATATATGCATGACTCTATGACACTCTGCAACGACAGTGGACAAAATTCAACGGTTTTTCTTCTGCGTTGTACAACTTTCCGTAGGCTTTGATCTTCCTCTAATAAAAATCACCACCTGCAGGTCACTGTACACTGAAATTGCTGGGAATTATAAAATTAATAAACGTGGCTCTAAAAAATATCTGTGGTATGTCTCTTTCGTATAAGCCCGAAGAAAGAGAAAAAGGCAACGTTAAAAAACACCTCGACTCCTAACTTTTGCACGTGTTAATTTTGTTTTGAAAGCAACAACTTGTACGGTATCCGCCCCCCCCGGGGGGGGGGGGTACTCCTTTATATTTGTGTTATAGGTATGTGCCGCCCCCAAAGGTAGGGTTTTTGCACCGTTTTGGTCCTAAAACG